CATAAGATACCAAATAAGAAAAAATATACGTACATCAATAAAAATCAAACTAAAACATACATAAAGACAAAAAGGACTCCAGTAATAAATAAAAATACAAGGGAATGATATAAAACGACAAAATAAGTATTAAAAACTAATGACAGAAGAGTTAAAATAAAACTTTTAAAAAATGACTTGGCAGAAAATGACGTGTCATGTCACTGACACCGCGAAATAAGTTAACTCATTATAAAACTGAAATTAGGGCTCAGGGATAAAACGAGAATCTTAAAACACAAAATAAATATATCAAACAAAAAAAAAAAGAACTAGTAAAAATTAACAGAAGGTGGTAATTAAAACAATTAAAAGCGGGCAATAGAAAACGGGCACAGGGGTGACTAATGCAGTCCCACGCAGGGGAAAACCTGGCGCCGTACAAAGTTAAGTGCGAGTGTAACTGGAGTGTGTCGCCCTCTCCTCTGGACTGCAGACCACACTCCACAATCCTCCCATGCCTTGGGTCGGAGTGGTCAGCGAGACAGGATCTGAAACAAAACCAAAGGGTAGGCCTGAGCCCTGTTACTTGCCTCAACACAAAAGGGTGGGTGTGCCCAGCTGAGACGTATCAGTCGCAATCAACTGGAGCACACAAGACAACAGTTACATAAAATAAACCAAATATACAAACACTATACATTGTTGCCGTTGAGCGTCTCGGCTGCAAACATTCAGCTCCCTGCGCTCCTCTGGCTCCCTGGCAAAGGATGTCAGAACAGACACCCATGGATCCTCTGGAAGGTCTGCATCCTGGACCGCTGCACCTGGCTGGTTGGTACCATCCTCGCCTCCTTCCTCGTCATCTCCAGGGCCCTCCTCGTCGTTTGCAGGTCCTTCCTCGTCACCGGGACGTCCCTCTTCGTCATCTGCACGTCCTTCCTCGTCATCATCGTCGACAGCATAGGAGAGTTCCTCAGAAGGGCGATAGGGCTTCAGGTGATTCAAATGGGCCTTCAGTTGAACTCCTGTGTCCAAGTTCAGTACTTCGAAGGAAACTGGCCCTAAGCGTCTGATGACTCGAGCTGGTCCACGCCATTTACCACTGAGAGGGGTAGTCCACCCATACGACTCTTGTGTTCATAGTACCAGACAAGGGATCCCTCTGTAGGCTGGAACACTATCTTTTTGCCTCGGTCGTAGTATCTTCCATAAATCTGCCTTGCTTGTCTGGAAGCTTCTACCGCTGCTTGACGAGCTTCTTGTAGTCGTCCCTGTAAATTGAGATTCTCTGCAAATATGGCTTCATTGGTGAGACCCACAGGAAAATTTGCGTGACGCCCAGTCAGGAGGTAGATTGGCTGTTCCCCAGTAGTACGATGTATGGCAGAATTAATCTGGAGCCGAAGTTCTGGGACAAACTGATGCCATACTCTTGGACGGTTGCCGACTAAGGTAGTAAGGGCAGCTTTCACTACACGGTTTGTCCGTTCCACCATTCCATTGGCCTGAGGATGGTATCGAATGGTGTAATGATTCGTGGCATGCATCATTTTTGTTAGTTCTCTGAAGATGTTGCTGGTGAACTGTATCCCATTATCTGTTTGGATCACCCTGGGAGGTCCAAAGAGGGTAACCCAATGATCCATAAAGGCCGAATGGACAGCTGCAGCAGTAGCCTTCCTCAGTGGAACAATCTGCAGGAAACGGGAGTGCTGATCCAGGATCGACAGGGCCCAGCGAACTGGAATGGATGGACCAAAGTCCATTAGGTCCATAGATACCCGTTCCAAGGGAAATTCTGCTAATGGTGTATCAGCCATTGGAACCTTCTGCATGCTGCCTCTTGACTGCTGGCAGATCAGGCAACTGTCAACATACTGCCTAACATCTCGCAGCATATTAGGCCAATAAAACATTGCCCTAGCATTCTGGAAAGTACGATGGATGCCTGGATGTGATGCTAAGGGTGGAAGATGAGATGCCTTGAGAGCAGAATTCCTAAGCTTCTGGGGAACAAACAGCTGGTAGCATATGCGGTCTGGGAAGTGCTTCAGCCTATAGACCACATTATCCTTAAGTTCAAATTCGCAGAGAGGAAGGGGTAACTTCTTTTTGGGCAAAGTCCCTTCCACTAGATATTTGCGAACATCACTCAGTAGAGGGTCAGCTTCCTGTTCTGCAGCAAGTCTCTCTGAGAGAGGTCAGTGATGGTGAGCTTAGCAACTTGTCGTGAAAGCAGGTCTGGTACATGGTTGGTAGGACCCTCCTTGTATCGTATATTGAAATCATAGAATGACAGGTCATGTGCAAACCTAGTCATCCTGGGAGACTTAGTTTTTCTGGAGAAAATGTAAACCAGTGGGCGATGGTCAGTGTAGACAGTGAAGTGCCTCCCATAGAGGTACGAGTCAAATACCCGAACCCCTTCAACCACTGCAAGGGCTTCCAAATCTATGGCAGGATAGCGGGTCTCAGCATCCCTCAACTTCCTGCTGTAATAAGCAATGGCGTACGGCGTGTTGGCACATCTCTCTGCATCAAGCAAGCACCAAGGGCTACACTGGAAGCATCAGTATGTAGCTCAAAGTCTCTTGAAAAATCTGGCTGCCTCAAGACTGGTGCAGTTGTGAGGCGCAGCTTGAGTTCTTCAAAAGCGGACTGTTGTTCGGCCCCCCAGATCCATTTCTGCCCTTTCTTTAAGAGTAGATGCAGTGGTGATGCGACCGTTGCATAATCAGGAATATGCTTCCGATAGAACCCAGTGGCTCCTAGAAACCTGCGTACCTCCCTCACAGTGCGTGGTGCAGGAGTCTTGGATATAGCAGTTACCTTTTCTTGGTTGGGAGACACTCCTCCTGGTGAGATAGTGAAGCCCAGGAAGTCAATAGTACTGGCAGCAAATTGACACTTCTGTGGGTTAAGCTTAAGACCAGCAGAAAGAAGCTGTAAGTCTCGGAGAGGTGCTGGAGATGTTGAGTAAAACCTCGGCTATAGATGATCATCATCGAGGTATGCCAATGTATGCCGTCCAAGTACTGGTGCCAGAACAATGTTCATTGTTCTCTGAAATGTTGTAGGAGCTGTGGATAGACCGAAGGGGAGTCGACAGAACTGAAATAAGCGGTACCCATCGAAAAAGCAGTTTTGGGTCGATCCGTTGTCTCCAGTTCAACACTCCAATATGCAGCTCGAGCATCTAGTGTGGTAAACGTGTCCATTGGGCCTAACTCATCAATCAGCTCATTGATGCGGGGTAGAGGATAAGCATCTTTCTTCGTTACAGCATTGAGACCTCGATAGTCCACACAGAACCTTAGACCACCTCCTTTCTTCTTCACAAGCACTACTGGACTTAGCCAGGGTGACGTGGAGGGCTCAATGACTCCAGCATCCAACATTGAATCACACTGGTCTCTGATGGCTTGTCGGGTTGATTGCGGCAGTCTCCATTGCCGGATACTGACTGGTTTGGCGTCACCAGTGTCAATCTTGTGGCTAATTCCAGGTACAAGTCAACGGTTTTTCTCTCCTCCTTCAAAAAGTTCTTTTGTGCTGGTTCAAGGAGCTTTTTCAGTTAGCCTTGGTTGTTTTTGATTTTTGGGTTATCCCCCAATTCTGGGGAAAAGATTCTTGGGTACCAAAAAGGACTTTTTGCTCC